ACCTTTGACTGAATAAACAAAGCCTGAAGATTAAGAATTATAAAATTCCTTACTAAAACAACTTTTACTTCGAATCAATTCTTTAGAAGAAAATTTAAAAACAGTCAAGGTAGAATAGAAAAAGATGTAGGTAGATTAAAATTGGATTAAGGAAGAATACAATTAAATTAAGGAAGAAAATAATTAAATTAAGAAAGAAAATAAGAATATATAAGAATAAATGGATATTTTGATCAAACAGGATCGGCTTTAAATAGATTTATCATTAAAAGATCTAGATAAACCAGAAAATTAACATTAAAAAACTTACTATAGATCTTTATTTTGGAGACTGTTTAATTATTTATCAGCTATGTCACAAATTGCTACAGATTTATATAAGATAAACACCAATGCAATAATTGAAAGTAACTCAGAAAAGGTCTTACAAATAGTATAAAAATGTTTCAATGTTGGAGCAGTAGTTTCTGGGCTAATTCCTGTTGTTGGAGATGTTTTTGGGATAATTAATGCTTTGCTTGATTCTGCAATTGATACAAAGAATGAGAATAAGTTTAACAGAAGATTAAGACTTCTCAATGAAATTTTATAATTATTTGCAGTGAATCCAAGTTAGTTAGAAATAGAGGTTCAAATGACAGCAATTTTATTAGGAAAACAGCAATTACCTAATATTAAAGAGAGAAAAAGAACAGAATTTAGTTAGAGAGTAGATAAACTAATAGTAGAAGAAAGTGGTTCTTCAAAGGATATTTATTGGATCTAAGGAACAGAAGATGCTTTAATCATCTTAAAATATTTAGAAAAAAACTAGGAGTAGATATTAAAGCAACCATAAAAAAAGCTAAGAGAGATATTTCAAGATGCAGTTAAATCATATTAGTATATCGCTCAAGCACCAAGAGGAGAGACAGGATGTTCATAGATATGTCAACTCATATGATTCACATATGTTAAAAAATAATAATAATTATCCCATTTATTTTATTAAACTAAAATTTGACCTATTGAGTAATGAAAATCCTACGAGAAGTTTATATTTTCTAAATAAACAAAGCTGAATTTAGACTTCATTAATTATTATTTGAAAATTCTTATATCATCGATAAAAAATATTAAAAACTTTAAATCTCTCATTCTACTATATCAATTTTTATGTCATAGAATAGAAGCGAATATATCCTGCTCATTTTAAAGTAAAGAATAGATTAATAAATTCATTTTTTGTAAAGATTCAGATAAAACCAATGCTCTCTATTACAAAAATGACTAATATTAGTAAACATATACTAAAAGTGAAATAATCTATGAATGCTAAGACAATAGGCGATTAAGAAAAGACAAGTTTCTCCAAATGAATTGTGGGAAAAAGCTAAGCAATGTTGTAATCTCTTAGAAAACTCAAAAGTTGATTCTTAGAATTTAATTCATGTGTCTCACCTAAATGATTAAATTTTAGATATATCACAACCTCCAAAACCAAGAAATGTGTATTTCATCTCACCTCACAACTCTGATACAGAAATCAAACAAAAGAAACTGATCTCGATTCAAAAGCCCTTAACAATCTTATCAAAAGACTTAGGTTTGGTAGAGTGCAAACATAAACTAGATCTTTGTTTCGATCTACATAGAGAATGCAAACATCATCCATAGGCAAATAGATTTAAAAGATTGAATTGAATGAGTAATTGAGTGCTCAAGCACTTAATTTTCTAAAATAGTTAAAAAAGAGATAATGAATAAATGAATATAAGTGTTTATGAATATTTCAATTTCTCATTATCGAATTAAATGATTATCCAATTCAATAATATTATATTATAATACTCATTATTGCTAATCTTAATCAAAAAGTTCTTCTGCCTGTTCTGCTGGTTAATGGAACATCTCCTACTATACTGATATTTTTATGTGAACACTAAAGACACTACAATAAAGCACACTAAACATCGATCCTTTTTGATGAGATAAACTCATTTTTGACGAAGTTCCTCTATACACAACAGAAGGACATTCTTCTTTAAGAACAGATTCACTCTTTGATTTGGGGTGTGCTAATGAACCTTTATCCTTTACTAAATTAAGACATAATATTAATCATCAATTTTTAAAAATAACAACATCAAAATCCAATTATCATCATAACTGTTGAGAAAATATTTGCGTACATTCTTTCCAGTTATGAATGGTAAAATATGTGAGAAAACAACAAAAAATAACATACTTACCATATAAAAGGCACCAACTGCAAATGATGGCTCTATTGGAGATATCAAATCATCCCACATCTATAATTACAGATAATATAGGCATTACAAAAACGAACAAAAAATTTTCTATACTTGATACTTATTTACAAAATATGGAACTGCTACTTGAGCTATCAATCTACCAATTAAAGGAAATGAAACTTTTAATTAATTATTCTTATACCACCACCTGTATCATATTTATATGGTGACATCAATAATTCCATAATTACTAAAAAGCC